CTTAGGCATAACATGGAACAGGTATTTTTCATCAAGTATTGATATGTTGAACTTTAAGTCCCTACAGAATATGATGAAAAAACACTTAAAAAAATTAAAATATATTTTAAAAATAGGCATAAAGAATTATATAATTCTTATGTTTACACATAAGTTCAGCAATGAGTAGATTTTAACCAGCTTAATAAAAATTTTACCAGCTGTTTATGATTAAAATACTTAATAAATATAAAAATATTAACTTAGACTTAGCATAACCCAAAAAAGGCCTGCAATATTAATCTTGATAACCAAACACCTAAAGCAGTCAAAGTCAGAGACAGCAAAGAGACTCATTATTTCTGTAATACTAATAAGATTAAAGGTTTTTCTAGATGTGTTAGAAGTGTAGTTAGGCAAGAGAATAAAATAAATGTAATAAACAAGTAACAAACATAGGAAAAGAGTACCCAGAATTATCACTTCCAGGAGATATATTCCTGGAAAACTCAAGATCAACTGAAAAACTATTGTGACATGAGGAAATTAAATTTAGTAATGTAGCCAGATTAAAAATTGGTATGAAAATTACTAATCTGTAGAACAGAAAATAGAAAAAAACACTCAATAAAACACAAGAAATGCATAGTGGTGCCTTCATTCACAAGCATGATTCTTCTTGTGATTCCAGGTGCAAACTAAGTTGGGTAAGAACTGAATCAAATTTGATGCTTAGGTTCATTGCTGACCTTATGGGGGGATTGAATTATGTTCTTATCCAGTTCAATTTGCAACCAGAATTGTGGAGAGAACTGAGTTTGTAAACTAAGGCACCAATGTAAGACAGTCTCTTGACTTGAATATATTTAGAAAGGAATATATTCATTTTATATATTTATATTTTAAGGGCCGGGGAAATGGGTCAGTAGAATAAATGCTTCGTGGCAAGCACAAGGGCCTGAGTTCAATCCCTGGTTCTGAAAAAAAAAAAAGAGAGAAATACATCCATTTGAAAAATTCATGTTGCAAAAGTATAGTTGTTTCTAAATTTACTTACAAATTTTATGTAATCTAGATCAGAAGTCCAGTAGAAGCATATTGTGTTTGGAGACTTGATAAGTCATTTTCACATTTTCTAGAAGAATAAATCTTAGAAAAATAAGTCAAGAAATGTAGCCCAGCCTGGTGTGGTGGTGCATGTCTAATCCCAGCACTCAGGAGGCTAAGGCAGGAGGATCAGCACAGGTTTGAGACTATCCTGGGGTACATAGTGAGTTCAAAGCCAACCTGAACTACATATTAAGACCCTGTCTCAAAAAAAAAAAAGTAGCCCTGTGTGGTGGCCACACACCTGTAATCCCAGCATCCTAGGAGGCTGAGGCAGGAGAACCCCTGCGAGTTCAAGGCCACCCTTGACTATGTAGTGACTTTGAGCCAGTCCTCACTGGCTCTTTCTCAAAAAACAAATATTTTAAGCAATAAAATGGAATAATATTTTAGCTTTATAATCATTATAAGGTGATAGTATTAAGAATAATTTGGATCTGGTGTAGCAATATCTGGCCAGGTGAATGGAGCAGATTAAAGTATTCAGAAATAGACCTAATAATAGAAAATGGTTTATATGACATAGTAGCATATGAAAATACTTTTTCAATAAATTGTATGGGTATAGCAAGATAGATACAGATATTTGGAGGAAAAATAAGCTAAAAATTTATACTTCAAAATAAAATCCTTATGTACCAAAAATTTAGTAACAATGAGTGAAATGGTGAAGGGACTAAAATCATGAATGAGCATATATGAGTTTGTATATTTATCTAGATAGAGATAGAGACATGGATATAGATAGATACGAAGACTCCTTGTTTAATGACCTCTTTAACAGCTATTCAGGCTCATGACTTTGAGGCGTGCTGTTTGGGCTTACAACCTGCTGCTCAGACTTAGGACACTTTTTTTTTGGTACAGTTCTATAAATCCTGTTTATAGTGATCAATATCCTTTGTATGGTACACCTTGTTTATACCACATGGTAATGTTTAGATTGTACTGTACAGTACTGCAGTTTAATGTTCTGTTATACATCACTGCATGTAAGAGTTATGCAAATAAAAGCAAAGTTATCCGTTTGGAGTTTCCTTTGACCATTCTTTTTTCTGAATATTATAATGTGCATACTAAATACAAATCCTCATTTAGAATCAATTCATTTAATGACCTAGCTGCAGGAACAGAATGTGATTGTTAAACAAGGGGTATCTGTGTACATGTGTATATAATATATTTTTATTTTATTTAATTTTTTTTTTAAATTTTAGGACAGGCTGTACAGGGCCTCACTGCAAAGATTGGACTCGTAGTGATCCTCCTGTTTACAGCTTCCCAAGTGCTGGGATCACAGTCACATGCCACCATGCCCAATCTCAGTCAGTGTCTCAGCGCACCCTGGGGGTGAAGCCGGAATGGCAGGCTAGGAGATTGAACACTAGGCCCCTGCATCTCCTAAGCAGGCACTTTAGTCCACTGAGCTATTTGGCTGGCCCTATATATACTATCATATTTAGTATATATTTTAGACCACTGAGCCATCTCACCAGCCCTTTTAGTATATATTTTAATCTTGAAGTGTAGAAGACCTAAGTATTATCTAAAAACTAAAAGATATGTAAGAAGAGAGTGAGGTAATAAAAATGTGTATGCCTGAAAGACTTGTTTTTAAAAACCCTTAAACAAATCAGTGTTCTGAAGGAAAAATATTTGGAATGGTATAGAAGAGACTAAGGGAATTATCTCAGACAACTAATTTACTTATAAATTAGTAAAAATAACTCAGTAGACAGGTAATTTATGGAAAGACACTCCATGTCACTATACAATGAATATGAGATAGTTTTATTCCATCATACTCCAAAATGAAAAATTGCAGTGTGATTAACAGATATTTCGGATGTTTTAGGAAAGAAATTAAGCTTAGTCCCTAACTCAAAGTCCACACAAGGGCGGTTATATTTGAGTTTTGGATAGGTGTAACTTTAATTCAACACTTCCACTGTTAAGAATCTATTCTTCAAGAAGGGGGTGGTGAATGAAAGCAAGAGACAGGAAAAGAAATATTGTGGGACTGTCCTGCTTCAAGGTTGTATATGGTGAGATTTTTGGACTTATGTGCAAACATGAGAAGCATAGAATTCTTTATCCTATTTTT